CTGTTCTAAAGTAATTCAGAGCACAGGATTTTTCCTGTGTTTATTTTTGTTTTTTCCATTTTTTTAATTGAGATGAAATTCACATAACAAAGTTAAACATTTTAAAGTGAATCATTCAGTGGAGTTTAGTATGACCACGGTGTTGTGTAACAACCAGCACTATTATGGTATCATTTTCATCACCCCAAAAGAAACCTGGGGGCTGCTAAGCAGATGCCCTCCACAACTCCTTCCCCCTCCCTCTACCCCCACAACCATCAACTTGCCTTCAGTCACTGTAGATTTATTCTGGATATTTCATATACATGGAATCATACAACATGTGACCTGTTGTGTCTGTAAGCACACAGGTTTTTAACTGGGATATTCTTCTGAAGCCAAAGGGGAGACACTGAAGGATTAAGTGGGGGAAAAGGACACAGGCTGACTTTTGAGAAAGTCTCTTTCTCAAAGCTTTTGAGAAACATCACACCAGTTACCCACTGGGGCTGGGGACAAAGAGGACAGCTAGGAGCTGTTCATATCCCTCGAGATACGGACTGCAGTTTGTACAGTTAGCTGTTTCTTTCCACATCTACTGCCTCCCCAGAGCCGGACTGTAAACCTCATGAAGGCAGGAACCACCTGTCTTGTTCCTTGTCCTCTCTTCGTTCCACAAAGAGCGGTGCTCTCCAAGTAGTGAGTGAATGGTGAGTGCATGAACCAGATTTCTGTATTAATAGGCAGAGGGTGCAATCAGGGGTTGCTGCTGGAATTCAGGGACCATCCAGTGATGGAGGAAAGGCTGGGGGATGTGGGATGGAGTGGCTGTGTCTGGGTTTCCATCCAAGAGGATGGGGAAGGACAGGAAAGTGGAGAGTTGGGAAGACAGGAGGGACTCTTGAGCTCCTAGTTCAAGCAACAAGGGAACCGTGGTTACACTGATTCCAGGGAAAAGCAATGACTTTAGTTTTGAACCCTGTGAGATGTCGGGGGGCAGAGGGTGGTGCAGTGTGTCCAGATGTTACTGGATATTTAGATCCATAGCACAGAATCATGCTTTGAAGAAAACATTTTCTTGTTGTTCAGTCATGTCTGACTCTGTGACCCCATGAACTGCAGCCTGCCAGGCTTCCCTGTCCTTCATGATCTCCCAGACTTTGCTCAAATGCATGTCCATTGAGTTGGTGATGCCATCCAACCATCTCATCCTCTAGAAGCCCCTTCTCCTCCTTACCTCAATCATTCCCAGCATCAGGATCTTTTCCACAGGCTCTTGTGGAAAACATAGGGTGATTTCTAAATATTTAACCACTGTCAAAGCATGGGTATGCAGTCATCCGAATTAATGCTGGCCATGAGGCTGAAGCACCGTCCTAGAGCTTCCAGTACATCCATATTTTAGCCTGTTAGTTGCCAGACTGTAAGGTTAGTGGTCCCAAAAGAAGGCACTCAGGGCTGCAGGTGTTTACCAAGCAGCACAGAAGTATTTCAATCTTTTACCCTCCGGTGTGGCTGCACATGAATGAGCCCTGGAGTTCTTGCTATAGCCAGATGCTGTTAACCTAAACCCTCTCCACCCATGGCCCCATGCAACCCTCACAGTCATCCTGTTACGTATCATCATCACCCTCACCATCATCACCATCCTAAGTGCCATGGGACATGGTAGCACTTCCCTTACCAGCATGCTGCCAGTCTTGCCTGGGGAATTTCACTGCAGTCAATTATCCTGGTGCTGGGTCATCCACAGTTTGTTTTTTAGTATTTACTCTTATTTATTTGGCTGCACCGGGTCTTAACTGCAGCATGCAAGATCTTCGATCTTCATTATGGCATTCGGGATCTTTTTAGTTGTGGCATGTGGAATCTAGTTCCCTGACCAGGGATCAAACCCAGGCACCCTGCACTGGGAGTACGGAGTCTTAGCCACTGGACCACCAGGGAAGTCCCTGAATCGTCCACAGTTTAATCAAGGGCTTCAGTAACTTGCGCCTATCCCCTGTTCAAAGGGTGGGGCAGCCTCATGTTTCCTGAGCGTTCCCATGATTCACAGACACATTCCAACTGATTTCCCTCAGGCCTCTGGGAATCTATGCTAACCACCCTGGCCCAAGTCTCGCAGAACTTGCCACTCTCTTCTGTACCCCATTAGACCTGGCTACAGCACCTGTTTCCTTATGCCACCCACCAGCTTTGAGGACTGTCACTCCCACTCCCCTCAGCTACAGGTCCTTGAAAGACAAGGATCCTGTCAGGTGCTTCCTGAATTCACTGGTATTTGGCAAAATGTTTGGCTATGGGCTCAACAAATGTCCATTGAATGGATAAGTGAGCAGACACGTGAATAAGACTGGACTGTGATCGTTACTTGGGGTAAGATCTCATAATGCATTCATCTTTACCACTTGAATTTATATCTAATTACTTCTCTGACCCTAGTAGATGTTTTCAACTATGAATATTCAATAAGAATATATTAAACTACTCCACAGTCTGAGATTAAGGACTGCAGAAATGTAGGTAAGAGAGCAAGAATATGCCTGATGCAACCAACCGACCTGAGAAGGAACCAGAATTTAATTTGCTCCAAACATGGGGGTTTATCCTGCTCAGCACCCTCCCCCAAAGAGGGCAAAATGAGTTGTTAAAACATACATATCAACTCTTTGACTTTAAAATGAAAATACAGATGATAGCTAACATTAATAAAGGGCCCATCTTGGTGCGCAAACTGCTTTGGGAAAAATAAGAGTCGTGAAGGCTTAGGGATGCTGACCCCAGGATGCAGAATGACCGACAGAGAAGTTCAGAGATGAGAGGCCCTCCAGTCGAGTGGAAGCTTGAAGCTCCACATGCACTCAGGTCTTGGTCTTCCCGGAGCCCTCTCCCTTTGGGAGAGAAGAGCTCATGCAGTCTCTGAACCGACAGACAGCAGGTACTGCACAGGTCAGCGCAGCCCTGCCCGTGTGCTGGTGGAAGGTGGAGGACACTCACAGCTAAGAGCAGGAACTGGGTTCACACCCCAGCCCTGCCCTTTCCAAGCTAACATTGTGCTTGTTTACAAGCCTGTTGTTCCTTTATAAAACGGGGAATGATACTGCCTACCTCCAGGGAATATTAGAAGGAATAAACAGAAGCCTATGAAGTGCTAAGCACCATGCCTGGCAGACAGGTACTCAATTCACTAAACAGTATCCTTTGTTATAGAGTGGCAGGTATGGCAACCTGAGAAGTCAACATTCCTAGGTTTGCACAGAGGCCAAAGGTCACCCAGATGAATCAACACACTGATTCTCAAACCTGGCGGCACATTAGAATCAGCTAGGGAGCCTTTATTGATTTTTTTTAACATTTATTTTTCCTTATTTGGCTGCACCAGATCTTAGCTGTGGCCTTCAAGCTCTTTTAACTGTGGCATGTGAGATCTAGCTCCCTGACCCGGGATCGAACCTGGGTCCCCTGCACTGGGAGTGGAGAATCTTAGCCACTAGACCACCAGGGAAGTCCCTCAGCTAGGAAGCCTTTAAAATGCTAGTGCCAGTCTTCTGTACCCACTGAATCCAAATCAATGGAGAGGGGCCCCAGGTATTTTTTAAGGCTCCAAGAGTCTAACAGAAAGCCAGGGTTGTAACCCTCTGCTATAGTTAAAGCACTGGGGTCAAGCAATGACCTATAAAGAAAACTGCTAACAGTCAAATCAGAACTAGGTGCCCAGGCCTAACAGGGAGGACATCTTGATTGCAGAATTAAAAAAAAAAAAGTTTTACAACTGAATACTACTCATCTTTCTAATCCTGAATACTCCACATTAATAAATCATTAAAAGTTACCAAATTCTCAGAAAACCACCACTCTGGAAAAGTCATAACAAAGCTCAAGTGTTTATTAAGAATTAAAAATACTGTAAATAAGCCATACAGTTCATTTCACAGTAAACTAAACAGACCTTTTTTTTCTTTTTCCTTTTTTTTTCTTTTTTTCTTTTTTCTTTTTTAAAGGGCAAGACAGCCATTAAAGAACAGTACAGCTCAAAGGGGGAAGGGAAACAGCAAATGGCTACAGAAAATGCACACGTTCCTCACTGATGAATGGGGTCTGCTGACACCAAACCTCTTCAAGAACATTGTGGTGAAAGAGAGACAGTGGCCTCCATTCCCTGGGGAGGCAGTCTATGCCTTTATGAGCAGCTCTCGTAATACATTTCCTGAAGGAATCCAAGGACTCTCAGGGATTCTAAACCCTTATTCTGAATGCACTATTTGGGGCCTTATCAAGAGGTGACACAGGTCAGCCACAGGGGACTCTGTGGGGAGTTGTGCCTTCACATTCAGAACCGTCTGAATTCTTTGCATAGTTACCACTGAGATCGTGAAATGGTTCAGGAATGAAAAAGACACCTTTCCCCACAGAAGGCGACCATCAAGCAGCCGATGCAACTAAAAATGGAGGGCTTGGCCCCCTCTCGATTCAGAGTTGACCTTAACAAGTCATAACCAGTTGGAAGTGGAAGACAAGAAGTGAGTGACATCTCATGAAAACCTTGGCCAAAAGTACTAAAAAAAATAAAAATAAAAACAAAATAAAATGAATTTTCCTTAAAGACAATTAGAAAGAAAAGCACCTCCTCCCCCCACATTTTGCTTGAAATCTGCCAGCCAGGCAGGATTTTTGAGGTTAATCTGCTTCTGTTAATCCTCAATTGCAGCCACTATGGTTCTTCCCTGACACTGGGGAGAGACATCCCTTCTAGAAGGTGCCTCTGAGGCACTGAAGCCGGGCCTTCAGGAACGCCCCCCACCCAAAGCAGAAGCAGAAGACTTTTGCGCAACCGGTGGCGCGTGATAACCATCATAAATAAGTTAACCGGGCACAAAAACATAGAAGGCCCAGGAGGTCCTGGTGGTGCGGGTTGTGGAGGGACCTGGCTGTGGGGGAAGAGGTGAGGGGGGGGCCATCAACACTTTTTTTTGGTCATAAAAAACTGCACTGGCCATCCGTGCCCTGCACACGCAATCCGTTTAGACTTTCTCGTGAATCTTTTCCACTTTCACAAACAACCTATCCAGGTCATTCCTCAGGTCCTCTAGCAAACCCTTGGCCGACTCCAAGTTGTTCTCATTGGTCTCGATCTTCACCGAGTACGCGACCAAACTGTCCACAGCAGTCCTGAGCATTTTCAAGTCCGACTCTACCTGGCCCACGGAGGCTCTGAGGTTGTCAAGAGAGGAGAGTCTGTCCAGCAGGTCCTGCGGGGGCGCGGCGGTGGCCTCGCGGCCCAGCAGCGTGTGGACCTGCTCCTGCACCTTCTGCAGAGCCTCCACGGCGCCGGGGAGCTCAGCCATGCGGCGCTTTAGCTCGTCCACATCACCGGCCAGCGAGAGCTGGGCCTCGCCGAGGCCACGCACCGTGCCCGCCAGGCCGCCCTCGGCGTCAGTGGCGGGGCCCAGGCCGGCCACGCGCTCCTGCAGCTCCGCCAGGCGCCGCGCCTGCTCCTCGCTCTGCGCGCGCAGTGCCTCCAGGCTCTCGCCCTGGCGCGCCCAGGCTGCCTGCGCCGCCTGCACCCCGTCTTCCACGCTCCGCAGCCGTGAGTCCAAGCCCTGGCTCTCCTTCTGGAGAGTTTCAAAGGCCTCGGAGGGTCTGAAGGCCCCGTCTTCTTCTGGCCGGAGGGCTGCAGCCTTGAGTTGGCCGAGCTCCTCCTCGAGTCTCCTGATCTCGTCAGGGAGGCGGGCAACCGACTCCTCCGCCCTGAGGATCTTCTCCGTGAGCGCCTGAAGGGTGTGATGTTCCGAATCGGCCGCCTCCTTGAACCTCTGCTGCTCCTGTTTGAGGCTCACCAGTTCTTTGACCTCCGTGTAGACATCCGACTCCATGGTCTGGATGGTGCTTCTCAGGGCCTCCAAGTCCTTCTCTTTGGACTTCACTGAGGTTTGTATTTCCTTAACCACGTCCTTTAAGGCTTTCAGATCCTGCTTGTATCCCTCTGAGTCTTCCAGAGAGGCGACCTTGGCCTTCACGTCGTTGATTTCCTTCTGGCTCCTCTTCTGGACGTCTGTGAAGATGGCGATGTTGTCATTGATGGACTTAGTGAGCTCCGTCAGCCTTTCCTCCACAGTGTTCTCCAGGGAGGTGAAGTCCCGCTCCCGGGCATCCCTGACCACATGGATCCCATCAGAGAGGTCTTTGAGGATCTCATTCTGGAGTTTTTGTAGAACTTCACTGATGCGGTTGATCTCACTCTCCCCCTGCTTCACGGCTTTCTCTGTGAGATCATGTTTATGTTGGGAGCTTCTCACAAGGGACTCAAAAGTACCGAACGTGGCTTGCAGGGACTGCACCTGTAACCAAAATCCAAATGTTAACCACAGAGAACTGCTGAAGGGTTTTATGCTTCACCTATATTTCTTTTGATCTGCCCAGCTTTAAGGTCCCTCCTCCAACAGAACAGCACCATAACTCTCCTTTGGGGAACCATCCTTACACACAGCCCATGTGGTTTGGGGGACCAACCCAAAGGCTTCATTCCAAGTGCTCTAGGCCTGACCAATCAATGCTTTCCATCTACCCACTTCCCCACCCCTTCCTGGAACTACAGTGATTAGCAGATGGGCATGTGGCCTAAACCAGGCCAGCAAGCCGATTCCAAAACTTCTCTTAAAACTACTGGGAAAAGAAACCTCTTTCAACTGGAATTGCTAGCTATAGGATGAGGGAAGCCTGGAACAGCTCAGATCAGCACATGATCAAATGCCTGCCTACAGATCAAGCCAGCACAGAAGGAAGCAGAACTCAAGGAGGGCAAGATCAAGTTCTGAAGATACAATTTAAATCCCTGGAGACAGTCATACTGAGGACATCTACTCTGGAAGGAATCTACTCTGGAACTAGTTAAGTTCGAGCCGATAAATTATCTCTTTCCCTCCCACAATCTTTCTTTAGGGCAGCTTTAGCTGAATTTTTAGCTCTTGCAACTGAAAGGTCCCAAGTTTTCATAGAAACAAAGCTGAGGCACATGGGAGACAGTGGACAGGAAGGCAGGAGACCAGGTCCAGGTCTCTGCGTGGTAGTTCTAGCTCTTTGGCCCTGAAAAGTCACTGTCCTCAATTGAAAATGTGATCAGTGGACCAGTGGCCCTTAGCATGTTCTGGCTTGTGAACACATTATGATACTGATTGCCACTATACACTCATTCTAACTAAATTCTACCTTAAACAGGGTCTGACCTGGGAACCACTCCAGGGAGCAGGTTTACTGTCCTGAGAGGCTGAGAGTATGATGATTAATGGCCTGCCAACACAGTCAGAGCTGCTGAACAGAACTACGCATGACAAAACGAGAGGAGAAAGGGGTGATGAATGGATTAAATAGCAAAAAATTGATGATTATTGAAAGTAGCGTTCACTATATTGATCTCTTCTTTTCTTAATGCTTGAACATTTCCATAATGAAGGGCTTAAAAAAAAAATAGCATGGGTTCTAGAATGGGACTACCTATGCTCAAATGCTAGCTTGGACGCTTCCTAGCTGTGTGATCCTGGGCAAGTAATTAAGGCTATCTATGCCTTGGTTTCCTCAGCCACAGGATGGAAACAAAGATAGTATCTAATTCATTAGCTTGTTTTGTGAGAATAAAGTGCGTTAATATATATAAAGCACTTAAATTGGGCCTAACACATAGCTGTGTCCAGTCGCTCACTCTTTGCAACCCCATGGACTATAGCCCTCAAAGCTCCTCTGTCCATGGGAATTTCCAGGCAAGAATTCTAGAGCGGGTTGCCATTTCCTCCTTCAGGGGATCTTCTGACCCAGGGATCAAACCCACATCTGTTGTGTCTCCTGCATTAGCAGGTAGAGTCTTTACCACCGTGCAACCTGTGAACAGTAACTGTCACCTTCATTATGAACAGTATTCTGGGCTCTAGTTCCAGTCCCACCAATAACCAGCTCTGTGAGCACAAGGAAGTCACACTCAAATTCCAAGTCCCAAGTTCTTCATCTATTAACAAATAGGTTTCTAAAGTCCTTTATTGCTTCTACCAGTCTGTGATTTTAAAGCAAATTAGAATAAGGTTCTCAGGGACTCCAGAATACTTAGACAATTTCCCTGCTCAACCAAATATAACCTGAGTCATAAAGGACACCTTGAGAAGGTACCAGAGACAGCTGACCTCTGAAATTAGGTTATTCAGTCACAGAATCTGCCTGTTCTGAGCACAGATTTCAGAACAGAGGTGTGAACAGGTAGGCACAGTACCTGAAACATGGTAGGTGTTCATCAGTGTTTTCTGAATGAATCAAAGAATGAATGAGTTTACAGAGCAAAGCCTGATGAAGACCAGGCTGGTCCATTTCCCCCAACCCGTCTTGTCACTCCTAACCTGGACTGGCTCTTTACAGATGGCTAGGAAGGGGACTAGAGCGGAAATGACCGATGAAACCAATGCAAAGAGCACACAAGGTGTCTGCCTATGTTGGTGCTTTTCATCCTCTGAGCTGTCCATCTTCACATGCAAAGACCCCATTATAACCAATAAGAAGTGACTGTACGTTTCCCCAGCACGTGTGGGATGCCCACTAAGTGGTGGACAAGATGCCAGGCCAGAGTGACACTAAGACAGGACCCCTGCCCCCGAGGAGCTCACAGTAGGGGCAGGGGTGAGACTAGGTAGCGCTGGCTGATATTCAACAGGAACTTGATGTAAATAATTACGCAAATTTAAGAGACATCATCTCAATCCACTCTTATAATCATCTCATGGCAGCTCCTATTGATCCCCATTTTACAAAGCAGGAGGCTGGGAAGTGGTAGAGCTGAGCATCAGAATCCAGGAATGTCTGAGTTTAGAAACTGCACTCGGCCTCCAGTGATACACCCGGGAAGAAGCATGTTCAAAGTGCACCGAGTGTGCTCAGCCTCAAGCCATGACTCCTAGCCCAGAGTAAGATGAGAGGACAAAGAAATACAACCAGAGAACTCACTTGCCCACAAACAGCTCTTAGTCTCATTCAACTGACCCTGCCAGCCTTATGCCTACTCCTAAAATCACTGTATGCCACCCTAGATCTGCCAAGGCAACCCGAGTCCTTCAGAGGGCCTATACCAGAACCAGGGTTTCTGAAGCCCTGCGCCCGTCTGTGCCTGCTGAAATCTTCAGGCTAAGAACAGGCCAGCCTCTCGGCCCATTCAGCAGACCTGGGCCATGCCCCAGAACTGACAGCATCTGAGAACAAGACCAGGTGGGCACCCAAAAGGGGAGTGGAATAGCATGCTTCAAAGTCACCCTGCTCTGCTTCCAACCCCAGCTCCACCACTGAGGGTCTGCACGTGACCTGAATGAGTAACACAACTGCTCCAGACTCAGCTGGCCTATCTGTGAAATGGTGCTCATGTCTCAGATGGTAACGGGGAATACCTGGCCCATAATGAAGACTAATTATGAATAATAACAATACAGTAAGAATATGTCTCTGAGAAGAACCAAACCCTCATCCTCAGAGGAATAAGGTGCTCAAACTTAGTTTGTCAGAGGACCACTCATCACTGCTCACTCCTCAAGGCAAAGTAAAATCTACTGGCCACCCTGGAGATGCAGAGAGAACTGACCACATGCAGTGGAAGATTCTATGTGGCAAATGTTCCAAGCCAATGCAATAAGCATTAACTGAGCAACTACGAGGTACTAAGCAAGGCATGGGAAAGATGGCAAAATGAACAGGTAAGTGGTGAAGCGTGTTCTAGGAGTTCACTGCAGTTTGAATCCTAGCAATGCTACTTGCTGGTTGTGTAACCATGTAGAGTTACTCAGCCTCCTGCTGTTCACTTTCCCGGTCTGCGAAAAGGGGATTCTATCAGTCTACCTGTTGGCACTGTGAGAGTCAGATGAGTGCACAATAAACATGAGGCATTAAATATGAGCCTGACTACACTACTAAAAAAGAAAGGTCACAATTTCAATGGTTTACAGCCAGGTGGATTCTTGAAAACCTGGAGAGAGTCCTCCCCTTACTGTGGAGATGGAAGAACTGAGTACCCCAAAGGAAAGGGAATCTGTACGAAGCTGTGGTGGAGCAAGAGTGGGAACCAGATGAAAGAATAAGGGAGGGGCAGGGAGGAAGCAGAGAGAATAAACCTCAATTTCTCCTGCCTCAACTCAAGACCTTCACCATCCGGGCCTGCGCTTCAGCCTCCCCTCTCACAGCCTCCTTAAATGTTACTCTGCTTCGGGCAGGATGGCCATGTAGCATCTGCCAAACAAGCCTGTGTATTCCTCACGCCGCCTCTCAACAGTTATCCACCACCATATAGATCTAGACTGGTACCACGCTGGCCACTGGGTCACAGGCCTGGGCAAACTCCGCCTTCTCTCTCTTCTGAACTCACAGAGGAGTCACCCTCAACCCAAACCTACCTGTGGGCTGCTTCACAAATAGGATTTGTCCTTCGCACCCTCCACAGTGCATACCAGGAGCCATGTGACTATCAGACTTCACCAAATATTATGATTGATTGGTAAGTGGGTGGATAAAGAGAGGAAACAGAGAGCCTGCTGATGATACTTCAGCAGTATGTCTATTTTTTAAGAATGATTTGACATTCCAGATAGGCAAAGCAGCGCTGCCTACTTAATTCCCTTAGAAAAGTCACCTCCCTTGGCCTGCAGCATGGAGCAAAATGACTCACTCCAGTTGCTCCGCCAGTCTTAAGAGGAAATTCCTAGTCCTGCATATTCTACACAGTCGATAGAAACTTGGCAGGGCCGGCAGCATGCTGGGAAAAGGAGGCAGCAGTTCCGGGCTCAGAAGTGGTGGCGGGATTTTTTGTTTCAATCATGCAACCAAGTTTCATTGAGCAATGACATGAGTGGAGGACGGAGGACGGGGAACGAGGCTGAAGGAGCTGCACTTGGTGTAAAAAGAAAAATCAGAAAAGGTAGACCCTAGGCAGCTTCGTGTTGAAAGGTGGGTCCATCCCTGCCTGAAACAGGCCCCGGTGGCCCCAAGGCTGTCGTGCAATCTGCCACTCACCAGCTTCGGTCTTTATCAATTAAGCTCTAAATGTCAATTTTCTGGTCTGGAAAACGGAGTCAAAACTGCCAGTCCTCTCTCCTTCCCTCCCTCCCAAGGCTGCCATAAGGATTAGATAATAAGTGAGTAAGCCCTCTAAACACCATATAAATGTACCTCCGTGGTATTATTCACCAATGTGACCTAGTATCTTTGGTCGTTCCTCTCCTCTAAGGCTGAAATATGCTATCATACTTCCAAGGCCCACTTAGGTACACTGGTCTAATAAAGTGCAGGGGGCCTAACGAGATGAAATATTTCATCAGAACTATACAAATGAGTAACATTACTAGCTTCTCTTTCCCCGGGCTCCGGGTCTATTAAAATCTGGCTCAGATGTCTCCCACGGGGCGAGCAGAGGTGCGGCCTTGCCCGAGGCTTCCAGGGATGCGCTGGTTTCCCTTCCAAGCTTCTCTCCAGACAACTCTGCCCATTCAGCGGTTCCTAATCCAAAAAGAATGAGCTTCCCAGAGCCTGCCGGCTTCCTTACAGGTCACCGCTAATGTCCTGTGACAGGCCCTTGGCCCACCCTCCTGGGCGGCCGGAACATCCTCGGGGCGATTCCTCAGCGGCCATTAACAAAGAGGGTCTGGGGGCCGCCTCGGTGCCAAGGGGCCGGGGCGAGGGGACCCCGGGCCGCTGGCGGAAGACACCCGGCCTGTGCCGGCGAGGGCCCCGGCCGGGAGGGCACGAGAGGGCCCGGCTGTGGGTGCGGGTGCCGCTGCCGCCGGGAGCACGGAGGTTGGGGGGCCTGGGTACCCACCTTCTGCTCGACGCCCTGCAAGCCCTGACCCAGCTCCTCCCGCTGCCGGGAGAAGTCCTGGTGGCTGCGCCGGACGTGCTGGACCTCCTCCAGGACGTGGTGGACACACCAGCCCGAGAAGGCGGCCGCCGCCACCAGGGCGAGGTAGAAGAGAAAGTTGAGCACCCGGCCGAGCCTGCGCGAGCAGGACGCGGAGGACGAGGCGGCGGCGGCGGCGGCGGAGGAGGAAGCCTTGCCGCCGCGGTGGCCGCCCTTGCCGTGCGCCTGGTTCTGCGGATGCTGCGGCGGGTGCTGCTGTTGCGGGTGCGGCGCGGGCGGCGGCGGGTGCTGCTGCGGCGCCGGCGGCGGCTTCTTCGCCACGTCATCCGCGCCGCCCGACGGGTGGGCGCCCTTCTCCGAGGGGCTCGCGGCGCCGTGGCCGCCCTTGGAGCCCCTTTGTTTGGCCGAGGGCATGGCGGGCGCGGCGGCGGCTGAGGCCGCGGGCTGCGAGGCGAGCGAATGGGGCGCGCGGCCGGGGAAACTTCCTCGGGCTCCCCCGGGGCTGGGCGAGCAGCACGCGGGCGCTGTTGGCGTCGGAGCGGCCGAGAGAGAGAGAGCGAGAGCGGGCGGGCGGGCAAGGAAGGAGGCCGGGCGAGGGAGGAAGGAGGAGGGGGCCTGCCTCCGCCGCCGCCGCCGCCGCGGCGCCGACCCCGCCTCCCGGGAAGGGAGGCCGGCGGAGCCGAGCCCGGAGCGCCTGCCACGCACGCTGGGGCCGGCGGGCGGCCCCTCCCCTTGCCGCCACGACCCCAAAGAGGGAGGGCCGAGCGGGGGGCGGCCCCGCGGGGTCTACGGAGGCTGGGATAGGGCGAGGGGATCTAGGGGAAGGCGGCGGCCCAGCCGGGTCTACGGGAGCCGGGGTGGGATGAGGGTGGCTGAGGAAGAGGGGCCGCCCAACCAAAAGGTCCGGGGGATTGGGGGTTCGGCCGAGGGGAGGGTGGTGGCCGAGTGGGGTCTACTGGGGCACGGTGGGGGCGGGGGGCGACGATGGTATCCCAGCCGGGTCAGTGGAGGTCAGGGCAGGCGGCTGTAGGGGGGGAGGTGGGGAGGGGGCGAGGTGGGGAGCGGCCGGGCCGGGTCTAAGGAGGCGGGAACCGGCTGCCGAGGTGGCCGCAGGGAGGGGGCGGAGGCCTGGGTCAACTGGGACCCGGACTGGCGACTTAACTGGGGCCCCGGGGCCCGGGGATAGGCGGGTCGGAAGTGGAGGAGCCGGGCAAAACCTAGTCTAGAGGGCTCAGCGCGAGCCCCGCTCCCTTCTGGACCCTTGCTAAGAGAGGAAATGAAGGGGGGCGCCCCAGGAGCCCTGTTCTGGGAGGGGGAGTAAAGGGGCAGCAAGAGACCCCCATTCTCTTCCCCGGGGAGCTGGGGAAACCCCCAATCCCCCTCACAACTCCCCAGTCCCACCCTCCACGCCTCCAGGGGTTGGACCTTTTCTGTTTCCTGGGGTTTGAAGGCAAGGCCGAAAGGACTTTCTGAAAACCAGTTGGCCCCAAAGGCATGTTTAGGAAAAGTTAGCAAAGATTATCGGGCTGCTTGAAGATGTTCAAGGGAAGAGTCATGAGCGACCCGCTTAGCCCAGCCAGTTCGCTGTCGACACTGTTGACTTTTTCTGAAGCCCGTTCAACTCCATTTTCTCTTTACACGCCCCCCCCCAACTGTGTCCACCGCCCCCACTAAGGACAGGCTCTGTGCTGCGTGCTGGCCACCGGCCGCGGCCACGGTGAGAGGACGGCAGATCAGGGCTTCCACGCCTGCTCTGGTGGAAGGAACTAAACTAATGCCAGGCTCGGTGCTCCGCAGCTTACATATATGTTCTACCAAACCTCACTGATGTCTTCTAAGATAGGAATTATTTTACCTGCTTAATGGGAGGCAAACGGAGCTTGAGCCCCACCCCAACTGATTGTCCCAAGATCTCCCATAACCGTAATTTGAACCTTGATCTGCTTCTTCCCGAGCCTGTGCGGCTTAATATTGTTGTTTAGTCCCTAAGTCGCAGTCTGACACTTTGCGACCCGGTGGACTGTAGCCCACCAGGCTCCTCTGTCCATGGGGTTTCCCAGACAAGAATACTGGAGTGGGTTGCCATTTCCTTCTCCAGGGCATCTTAGGCCATGGAGAAATTAAGCAGTTTGTCCACTCTCAGTAAGGCCAGTTAATGCTGGGGCAGGTACTGAGATCCACTTGACAAGCTTCTTTCCCCCTAATCTTGGTGTCTGTCTGTGTGTGTGCCTGTGAGTTAGCAACCCTTTTTCTTTTCCCTGGAAACGTCTCTCAATTCCTTCTTTAAAAAAACACTCCCTATCCTTAAGGCCTAGTTCAAATACTCTCATGAAACCTTCCCTGTAAACCACATGATACCTCTCATGAGACTTAGAGCAGAAGACAATTGCAAAGCATTGTGTAGGTTAGTTCAACATAGCAAACCTTTGTTGAGGGTCTGCTACATACCAGATAAATGTCTGCAAAGTACTAGAGTCTCCTCTCTTTGAGGATAGGAAGCAACCATTGCCTATGTCTCTATGAATCTCACTTTATAAGATACTTTTAAAAATCTCTACTAAATGAATGAACATATGTGCCTGCCCTCAAAGGGCCTGCATTCCATCTGGAGAAACATGCAGAAACATTTTGAAGGCTAAATTGTGTCATCCAGACTATAAATGGAAAAGGAACTTGGGAAGCAAACCATTGGGCTGCACCTGGGGAAGTCTTCTGAGGCGGAAAGTTCTTGAACAAAGCCTTGAAGAATAGATTTGCATAGGAGGAGAGCAGGGAGGATATTTCTGTGGCGGAAATGGGGGTGAACCCAGGACACCTGTCTGGTATCAAGGGGGTGAGCTGCAATTAGGAAAGAGAGATGAGCTGGGTGGAGTGGGTCCAGGTTGCAGAGGTTCGCAGAAGCCGGCCAGGTAGACACAGGAGTTGCTGTTAGTGTGGGAGGCCAGAGTAGATTAAAGCCGGTTCTGGACTAGAAATACAATCATTTGCTCCAGAGAGGAATGTCCCCACTCAAACTAAACACTAGGAGCTCTGATAGAAAACTCCCTGCTCAGCAAGGCCTATGACTCTGACCTAGGAGGGGAGAAAGGAGATGGCAAAGGAAAGCAGAAGGCTAATATCAGAAGATGCTAGAAGAACCTTGTTTAAAAACTTCAGCAGATTGTGTTTCAGATCTCTAGTGCACAAAAAAGTAACCATCCTCCTTCAAGCAATCATCTGTGTTAGGGCAGAGGTAGTGATAATTTGCAAAGCGGCTTTGGGGCCCCAGCCAAGCTCTGGCCTAGGAGGCAGGAGCTCTGCTTTTTAGCCTCACTTCTGCCACCAATCTCTGTGACCTTGAGAAGTGTACTTCTCTTCTCTGGATTTCAAGGTCACCATTTCTGTATCTCTAAAGACCTTTCTTATTATTAATCTATTTCTTATAGAAAATAGTCATCTGATTTTTTTCAATCAATTGTATATCTTTTTTTTTTTTTAATTTTTTTATTTTACTGGGCCAGGTTATAGTTGCAGCATGAGGGATCTTTAGTTGCTAACACTTAGTCGTAGCATGTGGGGTCTAGTTTCCTGACCAGGGGTTGAATCCCAAGCCCCCTGAACTGGGAACTCAGAGCCTTAGCCACTGGACCACCAGAGAATTCCCAGTAGTCTGATTATCATGAGAAATAATAACATTTTTAAACTTTTAAAAGTTGATTCAAAACATAGGCCTGCTTTAAAAATGACAGATTTCTTAACTTTCTGCCTCCACTGAGCCCTGGAAGAATGAAGGGATGGGAGATGGGACTGTTATTAGTACCTCTCACCCTTTTCCTTTTGGGAGGTAGTGAAGTATAATAGTTAGACATGGGCTCTGGAATAGACTAACTTGAGTTCAAATTCAGCTCCATGACTGATGGGGGAATGTGAACTCTCTGAACCTCTGTGTCTTCAGAAGTAGTAAAAACTGCTTCATCTGCTTCTTGTGAGGGTTAAAGGAGAGACACTATGATCCTGGGCGCATGGCAGGACTCAGTGAATAAAGAGTAGTAGAATCACTGAAAGTCTAGCTGCACACAGAACTTCTGTGTCTAGATTTCAACATTTTTCTTTCATCATTATTTCTTGGAGCTCCCAGCACCATTCATGGCTTATAGACCACAGGCTCCGATGGGTTTAACTTGAAAAAGCAGCACTGTTTCTCTCTGGATTGTGGTTCCACCGTGGTGTTCAGCTACACCCAGAGGAGGAGGTTTGTAAGTAGTTGTGGAAGCACGCCTTCTAGGACAGGAAGACTCCAACGGTTCTTGGGGATTTCCATTCTTTTATCCTGTTTTCTTTGTCAACACAACAAGCATTTTAGAAGTTTCCCGTCTCCTCCTGATTTCTTCTCTGAGCCTTTTCCATTTCACCCTCCATAAAGTATGTTTGATGGTCAGGAATGTAGGTAGAAAAACGAGGAGCTAAAGACATCTCTTCCTTTCCCCCAGCTTGTGCAAAGATGCTTTTGAACACCCTGAACTGCAAGGATCTTCAACTACCTAGAGCTCTGTAAGCCTTCAGCCCTTTGATTGTCTGCATTTCAGTTAGAATGGCTAAATAGAAAGCCCCTATTACTTCGATTGCTTCTTCTCTATTCCAGGTTGACAAGAGGTCAAGACGTGAGGCTCAATGCCCCACAAACAGGGTCTCTGTTAGTCTCAGTGGTCCCCAGTCCCAGGAGCTCCCCAGCTCCAAAGCCTGAGCTCCATGCAGTAGGGGAATTATTTCTTGGAACTCCCGGCACCATATGAGGCTTCACTTAACTGAGTCCTAGTTTTTAATGGAAGAAAACCATAATCCCTACTCCATAGAGGTAACATGAATACTCACTTGATCTTCTCGTCCACTCATGGTCTTCCTCATCCCAGCACATGTCAGTAACATCCGTCCGGTTGCTCAGGAATCATCCTTGACTCCCCTCCTTCTCTCACCCATCCCCCCACACCCAGTGCAATGTATTAGCAAATTTTATCTAGCATCTCTGACTTCTTATGACCTGCACAATTACCCCATGGATCCAAGTCACCACCCACATACACCTGGGTTATTGAAATACTCTCCTACTGGACTCCCTGCTTAAGCACTTGCTGCTTCCCTGTGGTCTTTTTTCAAAACAAAAGCCAGAGCAGTCCCTCAAAATATGTCAGATCCTCTTACACCTCTTTCCAAAACCCTGTTAAGACTCTTCAAGACAGTCAGAGCCAAAGGCAGGTTTTACAATGACCTCCAAGGGTCCCTGTGTCCTGGCCCCCTGCTCCCTCTCATACCTTCTTAATTGCTCCCTATTACTGCCATCCAGCCACACTAGCCTCCTATTGCTCCTCAATATGCCAAGTATCTCCCCATTTTGTGGGCCTTTGTAATTTTGTCCCCTGTGCCCACCAAACTTCAGC